GTTGAACATCCCGTGGACCCGCATATGCCCGCCCAACGCTTCTCCACTACTGAATCTCTTATCGCATAATGACAATGGTACTTCTCTTCCTCCTGCTCTTTGTAGTCTGCTTCTTGATTATCGGCATTGTTCTTGCAAATCAAACTTGGAAAACAAGACTCAGACAAGCAAATATATAGAGAAAAGTTCAAGCTAATTTGTGGGTGTGATTCTTTTTTTATTTTAATTTAATTTTATTTGGTGTGGGTTCAAAGAAAATACTTAGCCTATAAATAGGGTTTAGTTACAAATGTGGGTTATAATTCAAAGAAGTTTTTTTAGTTAAAAATAGAACTCGCACAGCACACCTTAGTCGATTGGTTGAGAGTTTTGATTAACAACCAACGGTTTCGGTATAAATCTTTCATTTGTGTTGTGTGTAAGAATTTGCCTTAATTGGTTTAAATGTTTAAAAAAAAAACGGAAAGGTACTTATGATATTGAATTATTTTACTATTTAGAATTGAATTAAAATTAGATTAATCAAAATTATTAATAGAAATTAATTTTCAATAGCTGTATTTATTACAAAAGTTCATAATTAAATTATAAATTTCTGGAATTTTTGTAAGCCGATGATGCATTCCAACGAATTTTATGAGCTAAATAAGGAAAGAAGGACAGAAGTCAATGTTCTAAATTTGATATACCAAAGGTCCTTGGCTCAAACCATATAATATTATTTTCTAACAAAGAGATCTCAGAAACAAATCTCTGAGGTCATCTATAATGAGAGTATTTATTATGTAATATTGTCATCAAGTTAATTCTTTGTTATTAAAATGTTTATCTTGCCTTCAAAAATACGATAACAAAGGTAATTTTTATAAGAAAAAATTTAACACCTAAATGATGTTATATATTCTTCAAAGCTCTGTATATCTTAGATAATTTTTTATATATATATATTGTTATTAAATTTCTAATGTGATTTTTGAGTTGATTATTTATTTTAATATCAACCGATTAATTAAAACGTAGATGAAAAATATGACATAAATTATTTAATATATTATCTGTTAAAGAATTACTATAATGATTAATTAAATTCAAAATAAGCAAAAAAAATCACTGTTGGTGATATGAAGAACAAACACTAAGAAAGTTGTGACATGAAGTTTGGGACGACTTTTTTTACTACTTTATAAAGTTACTATAGAGAAAATAAATTTTTAAGTTATTTTAGAAAGCCAG